AGCGTGGGCGGGGCCCGCGGTGATTGGCGCGGGTGCGGGGCCGCCAGTCTGAGCTGGGCTGCCGGGCAGAGCAGGTTTCACTTCGCTCTGCGCAGCCTCTGGGCCTTGAGCTTGCTGGAGAGCAGCGTCCCTCGCCGCCGCCGCCAGCGTATTCTTGTAGTTCTCCTGCGAGCCTTGTCCCACGGCAGTCAGCACCGTGTCCGGCAGCTTGATTTGCCCTACTCCCGCCGCCACAGCCTCGGCGTCCTTCCCTGGCCCTGGTACCCCCAATGTCTGACTCTGACTCTCGAACTGAGAAGCGCAAGGTAAATACCTCCACATCCCGAGGAACGGGCTGGGGACGGATGGAAGATGGGAGACTGAGCCCGAGCGGCTCCATCTATTGCCGGCTTCCCGCGCACGTGCAGGCCAAGACGCGCGAGTCCTCACCGTTTATCACCCGGGCGGGAAGATACGATCGGTGCAGGCCGGAGTCCCTCCCGGGCAGGTCCAATCTGGGGAAGGGTCGTCGGCGCCGAAGCTGCGGGCACTTGGCCCAACTATGGCACCGGCTGGTATGCGCACGGAGTTGGCAGAGCGGCGCAAGTCGGAGAGCGCGTGCTCTCGGCGCGGGCGGGGAAACCGGGGACTCGCTCCGCCGTACCAGGCTGCACGCCCAGCCGGGAAGCTTCGCTGGCGGCCGCTCCGTATGGCAGGTCTCGAGTCTTGGCTCTTAGGTGTGAAGGTTTGCGGAACTGTGGTGGTGATTTAACTTGACAGGCCTGGGCTTTGCTTTTTACTCATTCAAGCCGATGTTTTGAGGCTGCTGCTGAGGTCTCTCTCGTGGACGTGCCTGGGGGGGGGGTCCTGCTAGGTCTGCGTTCATCCTTCGGACTGTCAGCCCCTGGATCCACGGACAGTGAGAGGCCAAGGGCCTCTCCCGGGCCACCACGGCCACGCAGGGGGAGAGCCCAGGCCAGCTGAACGTGCTAGGGAGTCTCTCGAGTGCCCTGTTGCCTCGCGGCGCCCACGCGGTGCAGATGGGCGTCTCCGTGCCCTCGGGGGCTGCTTTCCCGGGGTAGAGAGCTGCTGGTGGAGGGCCCGCCCGACGCCGGGGTTGGGGTGTGGGTGTGCACGCCCTGGGCCTGGAGTGGACGCTTAGATTGGGTGCGTGTCCGCGGCACACATGAGACGGGAAAAAGTTGCTGGAGTCTGGGGAGGGCATGCTGTAGTTGAACTAGTGCAGCCTTTGGGGTCCTCACCCCGACCAGCTTAAGCGTGCTCGTGAGCAAGACCGAGCGGATCCCAGGAGAGCGTAGGTCCTACATTGTCTCCAGGTGACGGGAGGCGGGAAGTCCTGCGGCGCGCGCGGTGTCCCAGCCGAGCCCAGGGGCGGGCCAGCCAGG